TTCCTGAGCCTCTTCTCATTGGTTCCTCACAGAAGTGCTGGAGTAGGTAGATAGGAGACTCAGTGAAAACCTATTTTCTTTTATTAGCTGGAAAACAGAGATTTAGAAAACTTAGAAACTGGATCCAACTGAAAAGAATGAAGAAATGGTGGACCTTGAAAATGACTTCAGGTTTTCTCACTGTGCACAATATAGTCAAACACTGCTGCAGTTAAATATTTTACCCTTTGTTCTCCCTGCATGATTTACAATAATAATGTGCTTCACATTGATATTCACTGCTGTGTGGTTGACAATTACCTGAAAGAGAAGTTGGGGTGCTTCACTGCGCTAGAAAAAGTTTAGTCAAATTAGAAAGCAGTTCTAATTAACAAGTTTATTCTATATCTATAAAAAGTTAAATTGCCTAGCACATGCGCGATACATATGAAGCTCTCGACACCAATCGCACATGTGTGTGTTTCCATCTGTCATGTTGATCATGAATTTGGATGACACTTTTATTATATTCAGTATTGCTATTAAAATATTTCTTCTAATAAATTTCCTTTCAATGTGCACAAATACGTGCACTGGACCATTAGTTTCCTATAAGAACAGGAACAAGAGAGGGATACCCACCTTAACCACTCCTATTCAACAAAGTACTAGAAAGTCTACCTGAAGCAATCAGACAAGAAGAAGAAATAAAAGGCATCCAAATTGGAAATGAGGAAGTAAAACTGTCACTATTTGCAGACAGCATAATACTGTACATAGAAAACCATAAAGACACCATCAAAAGACTACCCGATTTAATAAGTGAATTCAGCAACATAGCAGGACATAAAATTAATACCCAGAAAATTATGGCATTCTTATACACCAATAACGAATGCTCAGAAAGGAAAACCATCCAAACAACCCTATTTACCATTGCAACAAAAAAACAAATTAGATATTTAGGGATAAATCTACCAAGGAAATAATAGACTTGTACTCAGAAAATTACAGTAAGTTGAAAAAAGAGATAGAGGAAGATATAAACAAAAGGACAGATACACTGTGTTCATGGATTTGTGAAACCAACATCATTAAAATGGCCATCTCTAAACTAAATGCAATCTCTATCAAAATACCAAAGGCTTATTTCACAGACCTAGAACAAATATTCCAAAAATGTATATGCAATTTAAAAAGACCCCAAATTACTACAGCCATTTGAGAAAGGAGCACAGAGTTAGAGGGATCACAATACCAGATTTCGAGCTTTATTACAAAGTTGCTGTACTCAAAATGGTATCTTGTTACTGGCACAAGAACAGGCATATAGACCAAAGGAACAGAACAGAGAACCCAGAATTCCATCCAAGAAAATATGCTCAATTAATATTGGACAAAGGATGCAAGAGCATACAATGGAGTCAAGACAGTCTCTTTAATAAATCCTGTTGGGAAAATTGAATAAATAGACTCAAAAAACATGAAATTAGACTACCAACTTAAACCATACACCAGAATAAACTAGAAATAGATAAAATACTTACATGCAAGATGGGACACCTTAAAAATCCTAGAAGAAGCCATTGGTAGCAAAATCTCAGACAACTCTTATAGCAATATCTTCATGGATACATCTCCTTGGATAGTGAAAACTAAAGAGAAAATAAACAAAAGGGAGTACCTCAAAACACACACACACACACACACACACACACACACACAAACACAAAAAACAAAACAAAAAAAAAACAAAACAAAAACCAATAAAAAAAAACCCCAAAACAAAAAACAACTTCTGCACAGCAAAAGAAACCGTTAAGAAAATAACAAGAAAGCCCACTGCCTGGGAGAACATAGTTGCCAGTTATACTTCCGGCAAGGAATTAACTTCCAAAATTTACAGGGAACTCATACAACTTAGCAAAGTAAGACAAACAATCCAGTTTAAAAATGGACAATGGGTCCTGGCCAGTTTGCCTCAGTGCATAGAGCATTGGCCTGTGGACTGAAGGGTCCCAGATTCAAGTCCAGTCAAGGGCATATACCTGAGTTGTGGGCACATCCCCAGTGAGGGGTGTGCAGGAGGCAGCTGTTCACTGTTTTTCTCTCACTGATGTTTCTAACTTTGTATTCCTCTCCATTCTTCTCTGAAAAAAATCAATAAGCACACTTTTTTAAAAAATGGGCAAAGGGCCTAAATAGACACTTCTCCAAAATGGACATTAAGAAGGACAAGATACATGTTTTAAAAATGTCTAAAGTAACTAGTCATCAGAGAGATGCAAATCAACAACAATGAGATATACCTCACACATGTCAGAATGGCTATCATCAATAAATCAAGAAATGACAAATGTTGGTGAGGATGTGGAGAATAGGGAATCCTCATACATTGCTGTTGGGAATGAAGACTGGTGCAGAGTCTGTGGAAAACAGTTTGGACTTTCCTCAAAATATTAAAAAAGGAAATGCCATTTGACCCATTGATTCTGTTTCTAAGAATATAGCCTAAGAATTCAGAAACACCCATCAGAAAGATATTTGCAGCACTATGTTCATAGCAGAGCAATTTACAATAGCTAAGATTTGGAAAAAGCCTAAGTGCCCATCAGCAGATGAATGGATTAAACAACTGTTGTACATCTCTACAATGGAATACTATAGAGTAGTAAAAAAGAAAGAACTCTTACCATTTGCAACAGCATTGATGGAACTAGAAAGTATTATACTAAGCAAAGTAAGCCAGTCAAAGATAAGTATCACACGATCTCATATGTGGAATCTAATGAACAGCATAAACGAATGAATAAAACTAGACCCAGAGGCATGGAGACATCAATCAGACTGTCAAACTTCAGAGGGAAGGCAGGGGAGGGTGGAGTGGAAGCGAGAGATCAACCAATGAACTCATGTGTATGTGCATAACCCATGGACACAGACAGTAAGGTGGTAAGGGCTTGGGAGGACGTGAGGGTTGGAGAGGGCAATGGGGGAAAAGAGGAACATATGTAATACAACAATATTTATTTTAAAAATAAAATCAATTCTGTTTTTCTATGTATCCTAAATCATTTTATGGTATCTTAAGTCATTGTATTTAACTTTGAATACTAAACAAATATTGGATAAATAAAACTTTATGCAGTGAATGCACACTGTGAGATGAATGTTTATGTATTTTAAATTTATCTTTATTGTGTGAAAGAAATGATCTCTTGTGGTATTCAGTGAGAAAATATTTTCAAAAAAAATTAATGTATACAAAGTAAATGTATATAAACTATGTATATATTTGTGAATTCTGTATGTGTACTTTACCATTTCTCTTTCTTTTTTTATGTTAGTCTTGGTAATTCCACTTCAAAATTTTATACTACATTCATAGCAGTAAAATTGTACAAACAGGATCTGTAAGCATTGTGTGTAGATTTGTGTACTCATTCTTTTTCTTACCTGCTGAATACTTACTGACTTTTTTTTCCCAATTACAGTGGCATCCAATATTATATTAGTGCCAGATGTACAGCATAATGATTAGGCATTTATATAACTTACAAAGTGGTACCCACCTAGCACCATCCATATTTATTAGCATATTATTGACTATATTTCCTATGCTGTACTTTACAACCCTGTGACTATTTTGTAACCACCAATCTGAAATTCTCAACTATTTCACTTTTTAACAAGTTTCTTAATCTCTGTATTTCTAAAATAGGTGACATGTAAATTTGTGTACTACAAATCTTAATAGACATGAAAATTATGAGTTAAAAATCTTTTAATAGACAACCAATCCTCAGTTCTCAAATGTCTCCCAACTCAAACAATTTGGTTCTTGGTCAAGTTGTTTATAAAAAAACAACAAAAACAACTTTGTTTTTGAAAGAAACTTTAGTTCTAGATTTGACAATCCTTTCATGCTGATACATTAGCATGACAAAAATCATCTGCCAGGCCACAAACAAAGGGGAGAATGTGAATTATTTTGCTGTGCTGGGAATATGTTCCTGTTTTTGTTTTGAGTGTGTGTGTGTGTGTGTGTGTGATTTTTGCTTGATTTTTTTGCTGGTGAAGTGGATGACTCGCATAATTTTAAACAAAGAGGCCATCAATTGTGCTTATATTGCTAAGGCTCTGAAAGTGCTCAAAAAAGAAGATTGGAAAACTGTTGTTGATTTGGATAAATGAAAAGCAGTTAGGCAGTGACAGCATGTTGGAGGCAGAGATATCTGAAGAAATGTAGAGGCTGCACCCTGGAACTAATGCTGAAAGTGATTCATTTAAGGCTATTATGTGGTGGTTGGTAAGTTGATGAAAAGAAGTAGTTGTTTATATATTAAACTAGAGGCCTGATATACGAAATTTGTGCAAGGAGCAGTGGCTTGCCTCAGCCCTCCTAGCTGTGGCGGCATTCAGAATGTCCTCTGGAAGGACATCAGGAAAGTCATCCTGCTTTCCAGTTTTATCAGAACATTATGCTTTTATTATTATAGAGACTAGGGGCCTGGTGCATGAAATTCATGCACTGGGGAGGTAAGAGTCCCTCAGCGCAGCCTGCCCCCTCTCACATACTGGGGAGCCCTCAGGGGATGTCCTACTGATGGGTTAGGCCAGCTCTCTGCTCCCCTTGGGGAGTGGGCCTAAGCTGCAATCTGGCCTCCCTTTGTGGGAGGTGATCAGGGGAAGGCACCAGCCCCATCACCCCGCTGCTGCAGCCACTGCCAGTCACCGCAGTCACCAAGGTGTTTTCATCAACATGGACTCAAGTCCCTTCACCATGAAAAAATGACAACTTTCTTTAGGCATTTTCAAGATTTGTCTTTCATAGGATATGACATGTCTTTATTTTTTTTTATCCTCACTTGAGGATATGTTTCCATTGACTTTTAGAGAATGTGGAAGAGAAAGGGAAAGACAGAGAGAAACATCAAAGTGAAAGGAACACTTTGATTGGTTGACTCATGCATGAGCCCTGACCTGGGCCCCAAACAGGGAAAAGCCTTCAACCTATGTACATGCCCTTAAGACAGAATTAAACCCAGACCCTGTGGTAGGCAGGCCGAGGCTCTATCCACTGAGCCAAACAGGCTATGGCAGGATATGATATTTCTTAGCCCCTACAGCAGCAGACCTTCATTTTTTTATCCAGGAGCAAGGTGGAAAAAACCTACATCACCTCCTTGGATTCTTATTACCCAAGTCACTAAGAAAAAAGAAAAGTGTACTGTCACTGGTATGTACTACCAGTGGCATACAAGGAGCTTAGCTAATGAGCAGTCAGAAAAGGTGTTGCTTCTGTAGTTCAACACCTTCATCCCCAGCTGGGCCCCTGCCCACACCTCTGGCTGGGACAATCGCCAGCTCTACCTCCCAGGTGGCAACTGGCACTGCCCACTCCACTTTCCCAGTCCCTGATCTGTGGCCCGGATCCTGCAGGTGGCATCTGGTGCTACCCACACCACCTGCAGTATGCAAATTTAATGGCCATCTTTTTTGGCTTAATTTGCATACTCATAATTTTTACTGCAGGGCAGAGCACCCTTGTCTGTACAGTGGGGCTAACAGTGTCTGCCAAGAGCTGCCTATGGAGTGGTGATCCCTGGAGGTCAACTTGCTGAAGACATGCCAATGTGGTGTCCAGAGGTCTGCCACTGGGGAGGTGGGATGTTGTACTTACTTCTGCAGGAGCACTGCACTTTGGAAGTGGAGGTTCCAGGGTCTGCGGATCTGTGAGTGGGGCAGCAGGATTTTGGCTGGGGTGGCTGCTGGGTGATGGGCAGTGTCCAAGGTCTGTCTGGGTGGCAGTGCTGATGAGTTCCTAGAAGAGGCCTCTCTCCCCTTCAAAATGGCCTGGGCTGCATCCAATTTACATTATTTATAATGGAAAATAAATTGATATATTTTTTAACAAATCACTTCTCAAACAACTTGACAGAATGAAGTGCCAGAACAGAGGTTCCACTGTACGGAGAACTACATTTTCCAGCCACAGTGGAAGCAAGGCCCATATGCCCAATGCACAATACTGTTCTTTCTGACTATCTAACCATTTGTGCCTATAGAAGCCAGTATATCCCAGGGCTGAGGTTCTGAGGTTCTCCCTTTGGGGCATAGTAGGCTCTGCTGTGACATAGCTCCAGTCAGGGCCATGATCTGGCAGGTGCTCTCCACGTCATACCAGGATCTCATAGAGGAGTTGGATCAGATTGTTTAGAACTCAGAGCAGCCAGAGCAGCACAGGAGAGACAGTTCAATGTTCAGAAATCTTATCAGCCCTTGACAGTGACTGTGCTTCCAGCACCACCCTCTTCAGCAAGGTCTCCTTGGAGAATGTCTTCTGGGTCCTGCTCATCGTCACCTACTTGCTACTCAGGGCTGTGGCCATCGTTCTGGCTTTCTCAAAATCAAGATAAACTGCACTAATCCTTTCTCCAACCACACCCTAAAATCTGTCCTGATAGAGCAGGGCCATGGGAAATAAAGAAGAGGAAGTGAGTCTTCCCCCAGTTCTGCCTGAAGCAGAACTGAAGAGAGACTAGCTCCCCCTTCATCTCCATCATATCTCCTCTTGTTCTCTTTCCAGGAGTTTCCTGCACAGCCCAGGGAGTGTGGGATTTGAATAGGCCTGTGTGATCACCTATTCCAGCTGGAAGTTTTTAGAGGGCTTCAAAACTGGGTCAAGTTATACCTGGTGGAAACAAGGAAGGAAGTTGGGTAGGAATCTGTGGAATGCCTGTAGGAGGCCAGTCACAGCCAGTCCATGGAACACACTCACTCTTTTCTGTGGGTCCTTCTTGACATTATGTAGAGCAGCAGTTTGTCAAACTGGGAGTGAAATGGATGATCAATATTGGAAAGAGATCTATTAAAAGGTGGTCAGGCAAAGAACCATTAAGTTGAATTCACCTTGTTCAGAGAATTGCCCATGTTAATGGGATTTTTCATCATTTCACTTTGATAAATTGAACTACTAGCCCACCTATACTTACTTGAAGAAATGGGCCCTGCTGGAAGGAACAGTGTAATGGAACAAATCCAGTGGATAACCTGAAAGTTATTTAAGTGCTTCAATTATTAATGAATTTCTTTTTACTATGATATATGAATAGGGTTTGTAGAAGATGGAATTAGAAATATAGATGTAATCTGAAGGTTTGTTGAAGGTTTCTTATAAGTTCAGTTATAACAGGATATTGACGCCCTGTTATTTACCTTGGTTTTTTTTCCCTTGGTATGACTCTCCAGGTGTACAGTTCATGCTTTGAAACCTGCACACTTTACACAAAGACAAAGATTCTATGTCTCTTGTATCATCTGCCATTTATATCACCCAATCTCTGATAACCTTATTTGTTAAATGAGAATTTTAAAGTTAATAAAATAATTGGTTTTCCTATGGAGTGACTAATCATGTATCTATCTGGATACAGTTTTTATTAATGCAGCTATAAAAGTTTGGAGTGGTTAACACACAAGGGCACTAGTATAAATGTGCATAGTATGTGCCTATTTAATGTATTTTGATGATTTCATTGAAAGGTAAATAAAAATTAGGTTACTACAAAATATATATATATATAGCACTAGCTGGTTTGGATCAGTGGATAGAGCATTGTCCTGCAGACTGAAGTGTCCAGGTTTGATTCTAGTCAAGGACACGTACCTCAATTGCATGCTGGATCCCCAGTGCAGGGCATGCAGTAGGCAGCCAATCGGTGCTTCCCTCTCATCATTGATGTTTCTATCCCTCTCCCATTCCCTCAAAATCAATGAGAAACAAAATTGAGAAACAACAATGGCCCAATGTTTGGCTCGGTTGGCGCTTCAGATGCTGCTGGCTTTCAGGGGGTTATGGAGGACCGAACAAAACCGCGTCCACGAGTCCTGACACAGGCCTGGGCGCAGGGGCGCTTCATAAATCTCGAGCGTGGCTGTAACTGCGCCGAGGCCTGTCGGAGGGGGGGCAG